ATTATATTTATATTAATTTTTATATTAATTATTATAATGTATTATTGTACTAACTGTATTAATTTATTAATTTTAATTCTTTAGTATATAATTTTTAAGTAGTTTAGTAAATATAAAATCTAAAAATAAGATAATTATTAATTAAAAAATACATTTTATAAGTATTATATATTAATTAAAATATTAAAAAATTAATCAGACTAGTAATAGATATAGCAAGAATTTTAAAAAATAAAAAGCTTTCTTATTATCAAAATAGATAATATCAATATTATTTACAAATTTTAAAAATCTTACTAATAATTACAAAATTTAAATTAGCTTAAAAATAATAGTTTAATTATCTAAAATAATTAATATATTTTAAGTACTTATTAATTAAATTTTAGCTAAACATTAAAAAATAAGATTATAAAATAAGTATTATATTTATAAAATATTTTTAATTTAATTTTATTTTTAATTAATATAATATTATATAATTAATTAAAAAGTAAGTTAAACTGAAAAAAAAATTATTAAAGTTTATAAATTAATTTAAAAATATAAATAATTTAAAGATTTTTAATAAATTTAAAAATATAATATAAAGTATCATTATTAATATATTTAATTATTTATATTATAATATAATAAATTTTAATTATATATAAAATAAAGTTACTTGTGTAAATTATTTTAAATTTGATAAAACAATTTAAATCTTTATATTTATTAATTTATTTTTACTAAAGTTTTAATATAGTTTTATTATTTTATAATTTTAATATAGGTTTAATTTTCTCTGAATTTTGTAGATTTTTAATAGATTTAATATAATTTTGCTAAATTTACTTTTTAATATTTAAATAATTTATTCAACCTTTAGATTTTATTTAATAATTTTAATATAAAACAATTAAATACTATATGAAATATAATGGAATAATAAATAAAAAATAAATATAATAAGGTGTGATACAGATATAAAGTGATTAATTTTAATATTTTATAGTTTTTACATAATAAAATTAATATATATTATATGAATTATATTATATATATTTGTATTTATTAAGAAACTTTATATATTTTATAAAAAAAAATTAATTGATTATATTATTTTAAAAGATGATAAGTATTTTTATTTAAAAAGATATTAAATAATAGATAAATTAAATAAATCAAAAAATTTATTTTTATTAATATATAATAATAAGTTTAGACGATTATCCTTAAATATTTAATCAAATTGTCTTTAAAGACATTGAATGATATAAGTTTTTTAATTAATAAATTGTAAATTTCATATTTGAACTATTGAATAATACTTTATTATATAATAATAAATGATCTTAATTAAAAACATAAGAATGATTTATTTTTTATTATTACTTATTTAAGTCAATGTTTATTCTCATTTTAATTTATTATTTAAAAAAGCAAATTACAAATTTATTTTTATAAATTCTGTATTAATATAAATATAACTAATATAACTATAACTATTAATTAAAAACTCATGAATTTTCATCTTCATTAGGTCATATTTATTAAATCCTCCTATCGGAAGAAGTACCAATAAGATATAATTTGTAAGATCCATTACTGACCAACCGCAGAAGAGCTATTAATCTAGGGGCAATTACCATATTATTGCTTTATGGAATGTATTCCCCCCACGTTGATTGATTATAATTGAGTAATGGTAATTATGAGATTCAATGATTAGTCATTTCATTCGAATTTTTGCTTGCGCTAAAAGGATCGACTCGTGAAACCTATCTCCTTTTTATATCCCGCGTGATCTTGAATCGGCGAGTATGATCGCATCACAAGATTCAGGATTGATGGCCTTTCACATATTACGAGAAGGGAAGATTGATGACAAGGGTCGAGATATGGATAATTGATAGCTGTACCAGTTGGATCAACCAGGGAAGCAATTTCCCTATTTACATTTTTGTCTTACCAAAAGCCCTATGATGATTGAAGTGGAATCCTCGGAAAAGCAAGTTTTTATTTATATATAAAATTAAAGCATTCGATGATTAAGTTCCAACTTTACTTACCTCATAGATATGCCCATAATCTAAAACAAAAGTTGGATTAACGTATGAATCACATCAATCAAATCAGTCGAACGTCGTCGTTCATGTGCAAGAATAAATCACTCGCGGGTTTCATGTTTGATCAGACGCTTCCTTCAATTTCGGAATGGCGAACAAAAATGAAGAACAAAGGAAAGTGAAGAACAGAAGGTATTCATTTTAAAACTTCCATAGTCACGGGAGGTTGCTTGTTGAAATTATCGTAGAACCAACCTAATTTTCATTTATTTCGAATTAATCATAATTCATGGGGTGATATTTTTTGTTGCTATTCCCACAAACTAAGATTAATAGGATCATCCAGATTTTCTAAAGTTCTAAAAGTTATATTTTATTCTTAATAAAGTAAGCCCTCTGAAAACGCTAGAAGAAAGACAAAAGAAAAATCATTAATAAATGATCAGAAACTGTTCGATAGACAAATGAGATAAACACAATTGAAAAAGGTAGGTTGAACTTTTAATTGTCATAACTTTTTTATTGATGATAGAGATTCAAAAATTACTATTACATTCATTATATAAAGAATTAAAAATAAAAGGTAGGTTTTTTTTAATCTTACTATGTAAAAACAATAAGAATAAAAGGACTAGATTGTGGCTGAATTAGGATTTGGTTATCGTCAATGATTCCGAATCCAAAATATAAAATTAACCCAGGCGAGAATAGAGCGTCGTCATAGTCACTGGCAAGACATTGTCAGGAAATTCGAATTAGAATTTGGTCGTTATCGACAATGATTCCGAATCCAAAATATAATAACCCCAGACAAGAAAAGAGCGTCTTCACAGTCGCAAAAATATCTGGGGCAGACAACTAGTTATCACCATAACATTTTGTTGTTTCCTATTATTTTGTACAAAATGACACGATTGTCAAAAAATAAAAATCGAAGAAACAAAAAAAAAATTTATATCTACTTACTTTTATTCTTGAAAATCGTATTAATTTTACTGCAAATAATAGTTCGTTCCATGGGGTTAAAGATACATCTGCTTCTTTTCCCCTACTTGTACCTTTTTTTTTTCAAAAAAAAAAAAATAGGAAGCAGGTTTGAGTTATCGAATAGCAAAATAATAATAATAATAATAATAATAATAATAATAGAAATAAAAATGTTAAACGTTTACTTGTAGATTCTAAATTAATAAGCGTTTCTTCTGAATTTGCAAAACGAATTCGTCTTTCAATTGCTCTATAACAGGTGTATATAGTCAAGTCATAAACGTTTGCAATTTTCCATTCCCAATTTCCAAACATATTAATTGATTCGCTCTGAAATATTTCTAGCCAAAAGATATGGGATTTTGTAATAGAAAGGGGGGAAACTGACTGAAAAAAAAAAATAAAGTTGTTAAATCTGAATATTCTAAAAAAAATATTTGTCAATGTGGCACGTTTTCTTTTTACGAAAATATTACTTTCCATAAGGAAGTAACAAACGAAGTTACACCGGAGTTGGAAGAAGTTGATTGGTGGTTCAATTACTTGTAGAACTATATCGATATTTTTATATTTATCTGTTATTATTTATTTATTTATTTCTCAAGAATATTTCACAAAATTATTATTATTTATAACTATTTAAAAAATTAAACGATGTAGAGACGTGAATAGGTACAATTAAAGAATTACAAAAAAAAAAGGAAAAAAAAAAAAGTTTGCAGCATTCTTTTATTAAAATTTCCGAAACCTATAATCAATACTTCAAAGCAGGATCATCTTTCTCCCCTTCATAATTATCCATTCCAACATAAACACTACGACTACATTTTGAGTTAGCGACCATTTCGGGTTCGGGTATTGAAATATTAACGGGAGAAGTTGGATTCACCCCAATTGAATTGGACGTATATTTTTGGGTATTATAAGGCTTGTGCATATTCTTTGAATAAAAGAACAATGCGGGTTCACCGTTGCTTAATGAACCTTTTCGAACCAAATAAGCTTGTGATTTAACACCATGAGTTGTTGGTGTAACGTCACGCCCGTTCTTCCATCTTAATATCGATAACATTAACATGATAAGTGCGATAGAAAGCGCAAAAAATGAAAGGGCTGTGTTGCCAAGGAATAAACGACACTTTGTTTGGTTGTCATCTGTGATTGTATTACAACCCATTTCTTTATCGGAAAAGGTTATTAAATTAGTAATACCTATTCATTAGCAAAAGAGGATTAGTTTAAAGATTTTGGCCAAAGAAAGAATAATATTCCTTCTCCGAATCACTTACATTGATAGAGCCAAATGACGGACAATAAGCTAGATTTTTTTTTTTTAAAAAAAAAAATTATGATAAAATAAATAGTTGATTTTGAATAACATTAGCGTAAAAAAAAAAAATGTATATACGAACCCATCAATATAAACATCGGCTTTGTGCAAATTATCCTTCCATCGAGAATTGAACTTAACCAATAAATATCCTAAAGAAACAAATTGTTAAAGAGGGAATTTTCAATGGTGTTGATTCACGTGATATAACCTACCAGTAAGGGATAAACTTGCTAACTTGATCACCCAGATTGTTAATAGATAATTAAATCTAATAAAAAAAAAAAAAAAATGAATTTTTTTATTCTCAAAAAAAAATCACGAAAATTATGTAGCTCATAAATCAACTTACGGGATTTTCGAATAAATTGTTCGATATCCCAAGGACTGAACGAGTTCTATTTGAAAGAAAGTTTAATAAAGTCAAAATAAAAATAAAAATAAAAAAAAACTTTAACCATTGAAGCGTACCTAGAATAAGTATCATCAAGAAAGTCCAAAATTGAAAAACCCTCCAAATGAGAAGAGTCTTTCGCTCAACTGACCACGTCATCATGAGAAATAGAATATTATAAAATATTCTTTGATTTTTGCTTTTTGCTTTTTGGTCAGTCGTTATAACCTTGAAGAGTAACAGTCGTAAAATTTTCTAGTGTCAAGAAGATGTGCTCTGAAACTCCCGTATTTGTGTATGTGTATTTATACCAATCACCCTTTTTTTTTTTTAATATTTATTTATCATCGACAATGAAATCAGTGATTGATTTTACAATTTATCGTAATGGCATAAACTTGGAAAGTTGATACAAATTACCAAATTACCTTATTGAGGTAAAGAAAAAAAGTTAAAATGATTTTGACGTCAAAAGTCATAGCTCAGATATTTAGATATTCGAAGGCATTAACTTACGTTGAACGAATCAGTTGACTTTTTTTTGTTTATTTTTGTTTTCTTTATTTGCCTTGTTTAAATATTTATATAACGATGAAAAATGCATCAAATGTATGTGACATCCTTAATTTCACAGGGGATAAACTCGAGAGCTCTTTTTTTAAAAAAAAAGACATGAAAAGCAGAAATTTTCTCATCGCGTGAAAAAAAAGTTTATCTTTTCATGAATCCATATGTTTAGTTTACTTAAGGGGTGAGTTCCGGAGATATTAGGGTCTATGCTGTACTACAAATATCGTTTATTAGCACATGTGAATGTTTATTTATCCTTTGGCGGGAATTGGGGACAGCTGCGCCATAAAAACTCGAAACCTCCTTCAAAAAAAAGGGATTAAAAAAAATAGTTAACTCGATAAAGATGCAAATTTTGAGCTTTAAGGCACATTTTTGAAAATAACGTGAAAAAAGAATCAATTTTCCCAATTAACTCCTTTCTTTTACACTTTAGAATTCATTTAGTAAGATCATATAAACATCGTGAGACCGCCAAACTCGACTTGAACCTACTCATTTCATTCAATATTCATATCAAGATAAGAACAGAGAGCATATACATTGTTAGCCCTTGAATCAGGTTATATTCGATCTTTTTTTAGATTCGTGAACGGCGCAGTATACATTAGAACCAAAATGTAATAGTTAATAATCTACGTGAAATAAACTTTCCCCAAAAGGATAATGAATTTAGATAGACATTGTGGTCACGTGTCACAACAATCGAGCATAAAATCATAAACTTCTTTTTTCTTTTTGTTAGTGTCTATCTTTTTTGGGAAATATCTCCGGATATTGGAATATTGAAATTTTTTTGTTTTTTGTTCATTTGTCATTGAAATTAATAGTCAAGGCACAGCGAAAATTATACACGGAATTAATTGAACGTACCAATGGACCAATGGTGTTTGGTAGAATCGATTTTTTTTTAACAAAAAAAATGCAACCAATTTTCATTCCAAATTCCAAAATCCGAAACGTAATAAGAAAATCTGTTTATGATCAAATGAGAATATAAAAGAAATGGTATTTTTAAATCGAAATTTCATTAATTTTATGATCGTATATGCCCTTTTTGTGAGTACTTCGGAAGTGACTTTTGAGGCACAAAAAATATTTTCCCTTTTATTCGACCGTGGCGTGGTGTTAGAGAAATTTTCAAATATTTCTTTCGATACCACGCCTACAAAAAAATAAAAAAAAAAAATTAAATCAAATTATTCTTCACGACTTTAATACCTTTAATACTCTATGCTGTGAAATTTGCTGATATTAAAGAGATGGGAGATTTTAATCTTAATCCTTTTCATGGCTCCAATTCAGCGATTTTTACAAGTTTAATTTTGTTATCAATAGACCTCGTAGCATGTCTGTATATTTTCGTGAGAACCTTTTTACAATGGAAACAGCTCGATAAAAAGTCGTTGCCGATGAGCCTCCGCTTCCCGTTTTATATTGCGTTAATTGGTAAATAATGATTCTTAATTCTGAACTAATGTTAATTTTTTTTCCTCTCATTTTTTTTTTTTTTTTTTTTTTTTAGAATTCAACATGTCCATTATACAGATTATTAACCTGGTAAATTATTTCGTTTACCCGATTAAAACGAAGAAATGATCGAATCAATTTTAAAATTAATCCTTTCTTTATAACATCATTTTTTATAGAGTCGTCCGAACATGTGGCAAGATCCCATGTGTAGTATTATTGGATATACCTCATTATTCTTATTTAATTTTGTTATGAATTTGGTAACTTTCATCATTTTTATAACTTGGTATCAAGCTACGAGAAAGATCGATCTTAGCTTTGGTCGTTACGATTGTGTAATTTTTATAGTTGTTACGACAGTTTCTATGTTTTACACTTTGCTCGGCGTGGGCGAATACGGTGAAGCTCACATTAGGTACGTTGAGATTATGATTTATCATCAAGGAATCTTTTGATCTTTGAACTTTAATTCATTTTCTTTTGATTTGATATAGGTGTGCAATTCAATCGTATAACATATCGATCCTTTGCATTTCTCTGGTCACAATCACAATTAATATGTCATTTATATTCATCCTTTATCTAAATACGTATTTACATTTGAAGAGGAGACTATTAAATAACCAATATCCACCCGAGGATGAGATAACAAAGAAAATATTTTCATACGCTTTCGCTTTCGCTTTTCAAATATTGATTATATTATTTTATACCATTACCACAATCATTAAATTGAACCATAATACGATAGATCTAATCTTCATATTTGGAATCATTAATGGTGGTTTATTAATAACCATTCAGTATATTAAAAATGAAGGTTGGTCGCATAAGCCAATCCTTTCAGCAGCTGTAAAACGTCATTCGCTGGATAGTTCGGTTCAATCCATATCGTCTGTACCAAATTCATTACGGCTTACTGAAAATTTTCCTTTTACAAAGATTCAAGTCGATGTTGTTCAACAACAAACGACTCAACGAAGGCAAATTGAGAATTATTTTTAAGTAGTATATCAAAACTGTGTTCGTAAAAAAATTTTTCCAGATAAACAGAAAAAAAAATATATTTTTTTTCTTCCTGTTGCGTAATTTAATCTTGAAGAAAGAGAAAAAGAAAAAAATTAAAAATTCAGGAAAAAAAATATTCATTAATAAATATTATTATAAATAATAAAATAATTATAGACTTTTTGCAAGTTCAAAAACATAATCTAAATATGGTGACAATTCGTCGTGAGATGTTCCGTATTCTACAATCTTAACCTTTCTAACAAAATAATCTAAAGTAGGTCTCATTTCTTCTTCGGTAGTTTCCAACTCGGAAAATTCGGAAGGACCGGGTAAGGGAGTACCTTTTAACACGATCCAATAATGAATTGGATGTTCATCGGCATCTTTCCTTTCGGCCAAATCCTTAAACAAATATGCCATATGCCAATCAGTTAATCCTCCCTCACCAACCCCTACAAATACCAACGAACGTTTCTTTTGTACGATAAGTATTTTTAAAAAATTAAGAAAGATCGTTGCTGTATCTTTGTATTCTTCTTCCGAAATTACAAAGTGGCCTTTATCATAATAAAGTCCATGCACATGAATAACGAAACGCGAATGAAGTCCTAAATCTGGTTTATCATCGTCGGGAATGATTAAATCTAATTGTTTGATATCTGATAAATCTTCCGTATAATCAAGGACATTTCGGAATAATGCACTGGCCAAGAACGTATCATAATTTGCGGTTAAGAGGACATTCTTTTCACATAATTGATTTAAAGTTTTTGACAATGGTGCGTGTGGGTTTGACTAGGATATCACGAAAAGAATGATTAGCAAAATTGATTTCATGATTTGGCAACGAATCAAATAGTCTTAATCACCTTTAATTGACTAAGAGCAAGTTCAGTTAGGCGTCTGAAAGTTCCATTGAGATTGTTTTCGTTTGTTGACACAATACCAATTAACGTGGATTTGAAATCTGTGGCAAAATCTTTGGCGTATGGGGAATCCTTGGTTGCTAACACGAGTAAAAAGTGGGGGGAGTTCGATGAATAAAAATGTTTTAATTCCTAAAAAAAGTAAAGTTAGCATTTTGAAACGTACCGGTTGAGAATTGATCGAATAACGTGTGTAACTCTTTATAACGAGCTTGTAAGAATTTTAATTTTTCAACTTCTTTTGGGTTACAAGATTCAATTTCATTTTTTAATTCAACAAGTCTTTGTTGACAAGCTTTAGAACCCCTTTCCCATGCGCTACCACTTTTAGTAACTATCAATTACGTAAAATGAAATGTTACTTCTTTTTACTTGACTCAGTAAGGATGTAGTAAAACTTACTAGTTGTGAATTTGTTAACTCTGGTAATGAGTTCATTTATGATTTGCGTTGATTGTTCAACGACATCATACTGACCCCATGGATTCAGAGCGACTCTTCCCAAGAGTTTAAACCCAATTCCGTCTTTGAAATAAAACATAAAGTCGTTAGAAATACTTTTTATACGTGATCAACCCTTCAAGAAAAAAAGAATTTTTTTTTTACCTTCACCAACATCGGATGATGGTAATTCTTTACAAATTCTTTTAATTACAAATGACATCAGTTTAATATCAACGTCAATCTCGGAAACCAAATCGTGCTTTTCCTGATCATTTGCAAACTTTTTGACCAGATTTGTTTTCAATGATTCATAATCCGTTTCAAATGCACGTTCAAGAGCTTTATTTAATTCATCTTTTTCTTCCTTTGTCAAAATTTTATGCCTTGAAATTTTCTCTCCAATTTTATTCCTAAATTCTAATAAGTCCTTAATATCCTCCAAGGAAATATAGGATGAACCATACGTTTTGAAAAATTCTTTAGCTACGGCTTCAACTGAAAATACATATACGCATATATATATTAAATTAAATAACCAAAATTATTCTCAAGTAATTGTAAAATATCTTTCAAAACGTACGTAAACCACTCCAACTTCCAACAGTTTTGACGCACGTTTTAGCATTATCTTTGGTAAGGATTGGATCAAGATTAAGAATTGCGGCTGATACACCAGCTCCTGTAAAGATACAACATTTTCCTTTTTGAAGGCGTCTTGAAAGTTCAAGTTCGTGCTCTTGAGGTTTGTGGTCTAAGGGCATTTTTTTTTTTTTTTTTTTTGATAATTTTTTCAAATAATTTTAATTTGAGTTTTCAATTGATGTTTATAAATTATTTCGGCGTCCTTTTTTTTTTTTTTTTCTTTGTTAAGGTTAATATAATCGAATTACGAACTATTTATATTGTTGATTGAATGTATTGTTCTCATTTAAACTTTTTTAATAATGTTGATCTTGTGGCTTGAATAAACAAACGCTGCAAGATGAACACATATGGTTATGAGGATTCGGGAAAATGAACGTTACCTTAATTCTAATCCCAACACTAAAAATAACTAACTGGCAAATAAATTCATATATATACTGTATGTGCTTGTTAATTTTTATATGCTTATTTTTATTTCTGCATAAAAAAAAGACTATTCGATTAGTTTAAGAATTTATTCTCTTCCTTTATGTAACGAGAAAAGTTACTTCTGGACTTTTTTTTTTAATGCAGGAACCCACAAAGAGAAATGATGTAATCGGTAGCAAATTTGCCCGGTTCTTACCTTTTTAATCTAATCCAATAGAAGTTGATGCACCAATGTTTGCGTCCCTTTTCAGCTCTTGACATCTTTTCTCTGAAATACTCGATGTTTTTCTGAGTTGTGCAAGTGAATATTTTTACCGAGAATTTATGCCATTTCCATCACAATGAGATGATCACTTTGTGATTATTCGTTACAATAATAATTAAATGAATTTTCTTTCTTTAATATTATTAATATTCGTTTCAAAAATTCTCCTTTGTTTGGTGAGATTATATTTAAAATAGGAATTTCCAAACATCACTTTTACTTTGTCGTATCAAAACGTTTTGTGGCTAAAATTATTAATTAAGAAGGAAAATCAAGCACGAATTACCAATCATTTCAATTAATTTTCATTGTTCATCAAAATTGTTGTTTCCTTTTGAAATGAAACTTTTAGGTTGTGCATGCTATTATCCAGAATCAGTAATAATTTACGTAAGGAACTTTTTATGTATGACAAATAAATTAAATTGTCTTTCGAAATTTTATACTATTTTAAGTGTGTGTTTTCTCGTCGGTAGCATTTGGAGGTGTTCTTTTTGTTCCAAATCCTTTTTTTTTTTTTTCCTGTTCACAAGTTGTAAAATCTTTGTAAAGAGACTGATTGCATCAGTCAATATATTATTTCCTGGTGAAAATAATAAAAAATATACTAATTAATAGATAATAAAAAGTTATAATAATCATAATAATAATAAAAATGGTAAAGACACTTCATGACCGGCCAATTTTATTTCGAAGATTAAGATTTTTACAGCTCGCAACAGTTTCGCTTATAACCTTTTCAGGTAGGTAAAATAATTCAATGTGTCTTATTGAGAGAGCTAGCTAATTATAACGAGTTCATTAAACGATATTTATTTTTTTTTTCACGAGTAGAAATTATACAAGCGATCGCTTTTTTTGGGCAACTTAAAGATACCCAGCCAAGTTCTTTTTATCTTTCCACAACCACGTAAGTTATAATCATTCGATTTCCTTTATAAGTCATCTTATTTTATTTTATTTTATTTTTTTTTTCATAAAATGTTTCGTCTTTTTTTGTAGGTTTGATTTATGCGGTATAAAGTTGCTATATCATATAGTCATTGGTCTTACTCTAATAAGCACTAGTAGGTTTTTTTTTTTTTTTGAACGATCATTTATAAACTCTCGGCACGTAGAGATTCTAAAATCGTTTATTTTCGTCACAGCATATTATTTCGTGCGATTCAGTCACAGATGGTATCATGGGCCTTATCAAACTGACATCTTAGTTGATCTGTAAGTTCAAACCTTAGATTTATCAATAAAATTTAAAATGAAATCCGGTTAAACAAAAAAAATTTCAAAAATTATAATAATCATCAGCACGTTTTTTTATTTGTGGGTCGTTGCCGGTAAGTACATTGATTCGATGAATCTTCGCACGTGTATTTTCCATAATTCTTTTAAGATATTAATACCTTACTTTCGATAGGATTCACAAATATTTTCCCATTGTTTAAAGGAAACAGATGGGCATGTTTAGATGACGCGTTCGGTCCAAAGGTAGAATTTCTCAAGAGGGTACTATGTGACGGATATATATTTAGTACAATATTTGGATGGATTATGATAATAGAGTTTTGTATTAGCACAGTATTGTATCTAAGATTATGGAAGACAAGGAATTGGTGGGAAAAATCAAGCATAAATGTCGAAAATAATCATTCGTTTGACGTAAGTTACTAATGCGTTGAATACGGTGGGATTTGATAAAAAGTTCATTCTAACATGATTTCTTGTGAATATTTTATAGCAAACAAACTTAACGGGTAACGTGTATTTTTACTTATTAATGAAATTTAAAGATGAGTTATTAATCATAGTTTGGTCCTATTTTTTTTTTTTTTTTTTATAGAAATTAACATGAATGATATAAAAAATCTTTCTCCTCGTGAACGTCACCGTCTTGTACTTGAATTAGGTCCAAGACGTGATTCATCAAGGACAATCACCTAAAAGGTAACGAAAGGTTACAATGACTTTTTAAATTTTTATATATATGTATAAATAAATTTTTTTTAAAACTTTTTCTAGTTGTACAAAATTGTAAGATCGCGATTATTTAACAGCCGGACTGTTTGATTATAAATGTAGGGCGGGTGGGTGATTTCTTGGCAAATAAAAACCAAAAAATAAAAAATATTTTTCATAATGTGAATACCTCTCCATTACTTGATTTTCGTGTGTAATGTTATTCTTGGTTAAAGATCTAGTTGAATTCTGTCATTTCGAAATGGTTGTGATACCTTTATTAAAATGATTTTCATGCTGCCACAAAGCTAATCATCAACATAATAATCAAAAGGTAGAGCACATGCATGTTATTTCATAACCCAATATGGTACTATACCGAAATTTAGTTTGAAATTCGTGAACCGAAATGATTTATTTAAATAACTCATTGAAATTTTTTTTTTAAAAAAAAACAAAAAATTTTAAACGGATAAATAAGAATCGATTCATTTTGCTATTTATCTTGAACATTCACAACTGCATAACTTACCTAGAAAAAATTTTTAAAGATGTCAAAATCAGTAAAATCAAAAGGTTTTTCTTTGAAACGTGAATACAATTTTGTGTTTAGAATTGTACAAATATCTGTTATTGGAGTTATTATGATCTTGGGTAAGATTTTTTTTTTAAAAAAAAAAAGCTGCTCAAGTTCTTGCTTATAACTTTTTTTTTTTTTTGTCTTTTAGAACTCGTACAATATATATTCTATAATGCGTTTTACGTGCATCAACTAAATTGGTCGAAATCTTACTACTTTCTTTCTAAATTGTATGAAATTTATTATCCTTTTTAACAATTTTACATAAAGTTATTAACATATTTTATATATTAAAGCAACGGTATAAAAGGTTTTTATGTTCCTGTTATTATTCTCACTTGGATTTATAATGGCAAGATTCTTTTTCGTATAAATTACTTTCATTCTCTTTCTTAAATTGTGGTAAACTCAATTCACTTTCTGTGAAAAATAGCTATTTATATCGGTACATTCCTTAAATTCCGGTCCAGTAAAAAGTTCATGAAAATTGCCATGATTTTTGACATGTACGTATTAATTATTAATTCCACTTATGCCCATTCCTTTCCGAACGATTATTAATCGCAACTCGCCCATTTAGATCCTTTGTTACTTTGTGGCTCGCAGTCGGTAAGTATTGTGAAATTTTTTTGTTATTTATAACATTATAAAATTGAATTGTTTCTAATAAAATCGAATTTCTTCAGGCGTAACAAATGTTTATCATGTGACTTGTTCAAAAGATGAAATTTTTTCTACTAAAGGGGAAACCCAAAGTATATGTCGTGCATTTCTTGGTAGTATGATATTAAGTTGGTTAATGTTCCTTCTATTTATCATCGCTTCTTTTACTTCATGGAGAACGTACAAAAGGCGTTGAGTTTCTTTTTGTATGCTGGGAAAATTACGTACATTTTTTTCCTTTATTATATTATCATGTGTAAAAACTTAAATTGTTATTTTAATATTTTAATTAGTTATTTTTGTCGCTTACATCATTTTTCCTCACCTAATAAAATTAATACCGTAATAGAACCTTATATTGCTTCCGAGTTTTTATGTTTTGACAGTGAAGAATGCATACATTCCTTTGATTTGTTAGAACGATCTGGAGGTACTAGCGGTCACCTTATTCAGAGCCAAACGTTGATACTGTACCAAAAGAAATTGCCAACACGTCGTTTATTTCATATATATCATTTTTTAAAATCAACTCACGATCCTAAGAGGCGTCAGTAAAAAATGGAATTTTCATTAATTTTAGTTCTCCCTTTTCTATTGACTACCGCCCATGAAATTAACCATTCCGTTTAAAGTGTCTCGTTCGAGCGGAGGCTGACTGATTACAACAATTACGAATTCATTGAATGATCATTTTACTTAAAGAATTCGTTCAATTATCAAATTATGTCACAAAAACCATTTGTCACACATGGGTTCGCGTGATACAAAATATCTATTATTATATAAAAAGGAATTATTAATTTTTCGTAAATCCGGTAGTTAACGATAGCGAAATAATATGACTGTATAATATGACTATATACATCATTTACAGTGTATTGCTTTCAATGAAAATTTTCGTTCTCATTGCGTTGTTTCAAAGGGACAAATGTTCTTCAAAATGAACATTAGTTACTTTTAAAATAACTGGTAATCAACATCAACTCCAAACCAGCTTTACGATTCCTTTAATAGATCCTTCTGGAAGTCTTTCTTTTGATGTTTCTGGTTTTCCCACCATATAATAAGTACCAGCAGAGAACAATCTATATGCAGTGCCTAACACTGGTAAGATGGTGACAGCTTCCGCAAATTTTACCTCTCTCGTCTCAAATGAGTTGTTAATCCGAAAATCAATACATGAAAGTCTCAATTTCAAGAATTGACTGTTTAATTGCTCTAGACTTGTACTACCTGTTCACGAGTACCTTGTCCATTATGATAGGGAAAGTCGACCCCAATCATTGGATGAATTCCAAAAACCCCCTCTAATACATCCCTATTCTTGTTAACCCATTCTTGTGAACTATGAGTAAAAATGATGACAAAATTTCTCTCACCCCTTTAAAAATTTTTTTAAATAAAGAAAACATTTTCATTTCTTCTCCTAAATAAGACTTTGCTTCTTTCGTTACATAACATATAAAGTTGAGAAGTAAATGTTGATTTGAGAAACAATTTCGAATCGATTCGACGAACTCCTCACGTGAGTTATCGCTTAAATTCGGTTCATCTACTCCGGACATGTCGATTACTTTATACCTTTCTGAGGAAGAAACCATCATATTCCCATCTACTCTTACCTCGACTTCACCATCAATAACCGGGAAGGGACCTGACATATCACCATTAATCAACATATTCCCGATAGAAGACTTGCCATTCCCAACGACTCCGAAAAGGGTCACCTTCATAACAGGTTCCATTATGTATGACAAAAGCGTTTTTCAGGACGATAATTAATATTGTTGGGATAAAATAAAGGATATTAAGTGGCGATAAAATCCTTGTAAAATAAACTATTTTTTTTTAACAAATTTATCAAGAATTTGTTTGTATCAAATTGTTAATTTCGGGTAGATTAAACTATCTCATGATACATGCATGCATTCATTACGCTTTTTACATTATTAATCGCAGAACATTATTTTTTTTTTTTTTTAGTTAGTAAAATCGAAAAAATCATTTCAATCGGATTTGTGTAACCACATCGATTTTGAATTAATTATGATGATGGACTTTCCACTTGTAAACGTGCCATAACATCTTTACACCCATCTAGCGATTTAATGAAGCTCGGATAATTCAAAAGAGGATTTGGAAATGAAGACGGTTTAATTGAAGTCCGTATCAAATAACGCACACGAATATACCCCTCCCTCGATTTGCAATTAAAAAGGGATTTTCCCAAAGCAAGGGAATTGTCATCCGACATAAATTTCGATTGACTAGAACGCATGAATAAAGTGAATTGAAATTGTTTCATAAATATTGCACGATGTAATTTGAAGAACGACCTTTGAGAAATGCATTTGCTTTATTAATGAAGTCAATACCAAGAGATGCATTGGATACAATACTTAAAATGATTTTTTATAATGATAAATTTTATTTTACGTTACAAAATAATATTAATGTTTTTTTCAAGAAAGTGACCCGGTGGGGTACATGAACCGAAAAATCGAGTTTGCGCGACCTTAGATACGTTTTTTTTTTATTTTATTTTATCTTCATTTTTTAGGTATGTTCTTTCAATTGCATAATTTATTCTTTTTTATATATAAGTGGGTTGGGCCGCTAAAATTACCGTAAACTACAATACAAATTTTCGAATTTCGGAGGGTACAACACTATGAGGTACAATATTCTTGCCAAAATCAATAAACGTGTGACAAATTTTTGAGTTATTTGATTAATAATAACGAACAAATCGACTAATCTGTAGTACCAATTACTGTTTTGATGACAACGGTAAAAATCCTTTAACAAGCTATTGGAAAAAGAATCAAATTGTCTGAAATAAAATATTTCAGAAAGTATTATACCCGGATATAATACATTTCTTTGAATGTATCGTATAATCCATTTTTTGCCTTCAATATTCCAGGGGGCCAATTTTGAAATGAACAGGTCGATTTTCGTCATCATTATGTTTACATATGGAGATGGATTGAGCCAATAGAATTTGACCGAAAAGTTTATGTGACGTTGCGTCATAACAAGCGTTAAAAACCCCTTTTGCTTGAAAACAAAAAAAAATTCACTTCTTTCCCCTTCTCCAAGACCGGAAAATCAACAACAAGGTATATTTTCTATTTATTTATTATTTATTATTTGTATTTTTTTTTATTTACTTTTCAAGTATAAGGCTTAAACATTTTTCTATATACAATATAAAACGACTGTTACTGAAGATTTCCGAGTTCTTTGGTACTGCCAAAGACAAAGAGAAGAATAGAGGTTTGCCTATGGCCAAGTAACCCGGTTTCCAGTCCATCCAGCTTTATTTTCCTCAGCTTGATTTCCTGTGAAGAAATTGTCAAAGCGGGTAATGATGGACCAGTGGTTTTTGAAGTTTAACCAGTTTAACGGTAAAAGTCATTATATCGAGTTATCGGCCGCGGCTATAACCCGGTTCCAGTGATCTTTGAAGTTGAATCAGTTTAACCTAAATAATCATTATATCGAGTTAGCAGACGTTTTGCCTGCGGCTATAATAACCGGTTATACCGAGTTATCGGGCGTTTTCCTGTGGCATGAATACGCGGTTACCAGTCCATCCAGCTTTATTTTCCTCAGCTTGATTTTCCTGTCCTGTGAAGAAATTGTCAAAGCGGGTAATGATGGACCAGTGATCTTGGAGTTTTGCTTTAGAGGTCATTTAAACCGAGTAATTTTGGGATTAAAGGGCTACATTTTATATGTTTTTGGTTTTCCTCCGTATTTAGGGGATACTGTCCCTTATTTACACTGGTAACCATTATTGTTATATTATGTTGCCTGTGGTAATATTTTTTTTTTTTTTAGAGAGATTTTTTTTTTTTTCAAGAGAAATTATACATAAATTTAATATTTAGAAATGAATAATACGGTGCGCCCTAATTCTTAGTAAATTTATTAGTTTATAATGAATTTCTTAAAAAAAAAATTTATTTTTATTTTTTTTTTTTATTTGGATGATCTTGGTCATTCTAAAAAAAAAAAAATTTTTTTTTTAACTCGAACAAGGCTTGCCACCTCTACGCGGTGTCCGGGAGAAACGGTTATAGGTTAATCTATATCTGGCTAAGTGCAAGCATATTAGCATATTGTGATTTTGAATTAATTAACGAGAATTTTCCTTGTATATTTTTACTATTGATGTAAAAGAAAATTTATAATTATATAATTATTTAATTTAATAAACCAAGTTACGATACTCTCTTCTCTCTTCGCTAATAATATAAAAAATAACGCATTACATTTAATCATTCTGTTTTTGTAATCCAAGTTTACTAAGTATCTGAATTTTATTTCGATGACGCACAAAAAAAAATAGCAAATTCATAATTGCACCCATAAAAATAGAATCGATTTTAATGAATTTTTCGATCGAATAGAACTACAGAAGATCCTTTAAGAGGTGCGATGTAAACAAAAGCAGCTTTATATTTTATCTCATCAAATATTTATTCATTCCTGCAACTTCTGTACCTAGCAAAAGATTGTTTTCAAACGCAGAAAATTACATTTAGTAAAACGTAAATTATATTGAATCAAGTTTTATTTTTAATTTTTCTTAAGACAAAATATTTTTATTAATACTGCTCATGGCTTTTAGCTTACGTTCTTCTTCAAGCTTCTTGAGACGTTTCTCCGTCTTGGCTTTTCCTGAAGATTTTCCATGAAATTTGTGAGACAATTGTCGAAATGCTTCTTTTGATGTTAGTTGATTACCAAACTCATCAACATATTCCAAATTAACATTTGGTTTATAATCTCTGAATCTTGCTTCAAGTGCTCACGATCTCAATAACTGGATTCATTATCCGCGATATCCTTTTTCCTTTGCCCGTTGTTTTTCTTTCTCTCGTTCATTCTGTCTTTCTAGATCTTTCTTACGATGTTCAGCAAGCCATTTATGTCGTTACGTTCTTTTTCAAGTTGTTCTTCATTTGGTTTAATTGAAAAACCTAAATATAAATAATGATGATGATGATAATTTATTAGAAATATTACGTTTTAATTTGATAATAAATTGATTGAGAAATACTTTGTATTGTAAAAAGGGCCAAAGTCGCTGCCATCCCACTACTAACCAAAGGCTCTTCAACTACACCGGTCTAGATAATTACATGCGAGACCATGCAATGTCCTTCTGTCACTAAGTGAAAATGCCCAATCAAATTTCAGGATAAAAAAATCGGTTCCCGTTCCCTAGTTTTATCATAATTAGATACCTATATTATGATAATATATATATATCAAGTAAATGTAAATTACCAATTTTGGTTCATCTTGAATATTAGCCATATCACTATCTGCTTCTAGTTCAGGTATAAATTTCAAACGATCTAAAGGATTAAATTTTTATTGCTAACACTTTGATAGATTTATTCGTTACTTTGGATATTCTTATACCACTTAAAGAATTTCCATTAAAGACGATGGATTATATATATGAAGCTTTGGTACCAGAAGTGACAAGCAGATTAAATTCAAGAAGCTTACAATAATAATATAACTCTAGAAAATGCATGAGAAATCATGGTTGAAAGTATAGAATTTTGCATTGTGGTGATGATATGTGATGTTTTGCTTTGAAATTATAAAATTCGTTAGATTAAAACCCCAATAATGATCCAAAGAGTATAGATATAATACTTTGTTGACGTTTTTCTCATTTAATCATCACCGAATAATCAAAAAGTCACAAACGATGTGTACAACCAACTTCTATAATCTAAAAACGCCGTCTCCTTTAATCTTAAACGAATTATTTAATTATTTACGTCAAGATTAATATTTTATTTGCGACATCCAATCGTTTCCAAGATCTAAAGTTTTTTAATTACTTAAATTCATGTATAAATTTAAATTTTTAATTTTTTTTTTTTTTTTGAATTCCAAATAATTCTCTTGCTTTCTTTTCTCTTTAAAAATAAAACTTTTTTTTTTAATTAAATCAAAATGCCTGTACACGTTGACGGATTCAAGTCATCTGCTATATTTGAACAACTTAAAGTTAATATCACTGATAATGAAGCAAAGAAAATCAGACTATCAAGAAGGTATTTACAAGAATTTTTTTTTTTTTGGAAAAGGTGAATCTTTTTTAAAAGGGTTGAACTTAAATTTATTTCAACTTTAGGTTAATACGATCTATGAGATTCATGTAAAAATCAAAAAAGGAAAGAACAAGTTTGGACACTAGATTTTAAAAATGATGGAACGGTAAATGCTGACAAAGGTACCGCAAAACCTGACATTATTATCAATTTATCTGATGATACTTTTGTTGATTTGGCTAAAGGGAAAATTAAAGGCAAGTAAAATAAAAATCGTTCTTCATCAAGTTGAAAAAAAAAAAAACAAATTTATCTTTTTTCTGTAAAAAATCATAGGTCAAATGGCTTTTTTGACTCGTAAACTTAAGATCAAGGGTAATATAATGTTGGCTACCAAATTGGATGGAGTTTTAGCCATGATCCCGAAAGCAAAATTATAATTTTTACATCATGAAAAAAAAAAAAAAAAATAGATTGTAATAGTTTGCATGTACTATCATATTGTTATTTAATAAAATAAAAATGAACTTAATGAAATTAATTGAAAATCGGAATCAAGATTATAAAATTGTTTTGTTTTAAATAAAGTCCTTTTATTTTGTATATTTACTCATGACTTCATAATTCTTCGCCTTCACGAAATTCCATTAACCAGGCATCCCTTCCAAATTCATAATAATTTACAACTCTTTTAATCACTTTAAAACCAACTTTTTTGTATAAATTAATCGCAGACTCCCTTTCAATGTCAACATGTAAATCAGCTTTACTTCTCTTGGGTACATTCATCTTTTCCAATGCGCTCTTTAATAACTTTTCTCCTAATCCAAGCCTTCTATAAGTAGGATGTATGCACAATTTCAATATTCTCGTGATTGGCATTTGCGAGGATGAAATATTCGAATATATTATATATCCAATTACGACAATTACTCTTGAAATTTCTTCCTTATTATTATTATTACTATTATTATCTCTTTTACGATTATTAAGGCAATGATTTTTTCCATTTGATGAATTATAGTCCTTCCTTTCTTTTCTCTCGTCTGTTTCATGATAAACTATTAACAATGTATTGGTTTTCTTTGAAACTTCTTCATTGATAGACATGATTTCGTTTTTTGGAAAAGTTTTTTTTTCAATAGTTTCAATCTGTTTGAGAATCATTTCTGTATATTTTTGAAGAGATTTATTGGGAAATATGGTTATACTTTCTACATTATTTTTCATAGGCATGTCTTGTCTTTTTTTTTTTAAAAAAAAAAATAAAATATAAAATAAATAAAACTAAAAAAAAGATTCTACATTTTGTAAAAAAAAAAAAAAAAAAAAAAAAAAAAAAAAAAAAAAAAAGGAAAATGGGAGAAATTTATATAATTTCCAAGCCAGATTTATCGATTGAGAATTCGTGTAACTTACAATATGTTGTGATGTTCAAATTTTATGAAATTAACGTAATGATTGAATCATTAGTAGTTAGGAAAAAAAAATGACTCCGAGAAGGTCAGAAAGGTTACGTGAGAACAAAAAAGAGGAGACTCCCATATCACCAAAAGAAGTGAAAGAAAGGCATGAAAAGGACGAAAGAACGCGTTCTGATAAAGCCAAAAAACGCAAAAGGAAGGATACTACACCAATTAAAGAAGCCATAGTTGCCAAGAAAACGAAACAAACCAAAAGAAATAAGGAATCTAAACTTAAAGCCAACAAAAGCACTTACGAAACAAAGGTTTTTTTTACACTCTTTTAAACCTATAAACGTGGCTTTTGAATTATAAATAATAAAATAGCCATTTAAATATATATCTTTTATCGTACGCAGGAACCTAAGCCTAAACGTAAAACCAAACAAAAAATACCTCTCGACATGTCTTTTACACGGAGTAAAGTTACAAAATACGTTGGCGCACACGTTAGTATTTCAGGTGGGGTACAAAATGCTATTATCAATAGTCTTATTATCAGGTAAATTTTACGCGTTTGATTCGTTTTTAAACGAAAAAGAAAAAATTACTAATATTAATGATGTTATTTGTGATGAAAAAAAAAGGGCCAATGCCTTTGCAATTTTCTTGAGAAATCAAAGAAGATGGACGGCACCACCACTAGATCCTGAGAAAGTTAAAGCATTTCGAGAAAATTGTATACAACATAATTATGCTTCAAAATTTATTTTGCCTCATGGGAGTTATCTAATCAATTTAGGTAATCCTGATCAAGTAAAACGCGAGAAAAGTTATCAGGCTTTTCTGGAGGATTTAAATCGTTGTGAATTACTAGGATTATCTTTATATAATTTTCAGTAAGTATACGAGTTAACGGTTTTCTTTTACAAAAAATAAATTGGATCGTTAATGACGCCTCAATCGTTGATCATAAGTCCTGGCTCAACAGTTGGGCAGTGCACAAAAGAACAATCTATACAACATATCGCGGATTGTATCAATAAAGCACATGAGGAAACTTCGAGCGTAACGTGTGTTATCGAAAACATGGTACGCTTATATTTTTTTTAAATCATAAGATACATGATATATATATATATATATATATTTGTATACTTTGGTACTGAAACATAATTGAAATTTTGCAAGGCGGGCGCGGGTAATATTAT